CTTCTTTTGTTGTCCTACCCTGTCAATATGAAAATGTATACAATTGTTAGTATTTGTTTGAATTTAAATGTTTAAGTTATGACTGTTATTAAGATTTGAGATATTATTAGTGTTTTTTTTAATTTAAATGTTTATGGTTTTACTTGCATTTAAATATTTAGTATATATAAAATTAGAACTTAGATTGTTTAGAAGTAATTAAACTAAAATATATATTTTTTTTAACTGTTCGCTTTGCTTCGGTAAAGCGTGTCGCTTCGCTTCTCGTTTCTCGCCTAGGCGTTAGGAGCCTTGGTCGCTTCGGTTCGCTTTACGCCTTAAATAACACTGCTCCATAAACTAAATATTTTGGGACAACCTCGTCAATCACTTATGGTTGTTTTTACGTGCATCAGAAATTTCCCTTTTTAACTGTGTTCAAGTGTCATCCATTGGCATGTGATTAATATTTGCTCTTGATAATTAAATACCATAGAGAATCTTGTTCCAATGGAACCTTGCAAAGCTGGTTGCCCACTAAAGGAATATTTCTTGTCTTCAAAATTCCAATTGAAAGGCCACTTTTATTCCAAGATCAAGGGACCATCTCTCAATTGATCAACAATCTTTCCTTTCCTCTTCATTGCCATCCCACAAGAAATCTTTCATCATTTTCTCAATCTTCATTGCAATCTTTTCGAGCATCTTAAATAAAAATGTGGGGGATACTGGCTAAGACAGAATACACTAAAGTTAATCTCCCCTTTTAGAAATAACAACTCCATACCCAACCATCTAATCTTATACTCACTCTCTCCACCATGAGATACTAGAGGTAATGAGAATGGATTCCAACACAATGGTAAGCTTAAGTACTTTGGAGACCATTTCCTACTCTAGACCCCAAAAGTTCCACAACCCTATTGATCTTGTCCAAATTTGAATTAATGCCCACAAATAAACTTTTATCTATTTTCACCTTAGGCCTCGAACTATGCTGTACACCTTCACAATATTTTTAGACTTTACAATTTCTGTTGATCCATGTATCATCAACAACTTGTGAATTTGACATCTGTATCATATTCCCTGCTCACAATAAAAACGTATGCCAAATTACACATATTGGCCCTTCTTACTAACCCACTCAACCCACCAAGAACTAAAATAAAAAGGATCTATCCCACCAAGAACTAAAATAAAAAGGATCTATCTTAGCCCTCTAGAAGTCTTAAATCTATCCCTAGGCTTCTCATTAAGCATAATGGAGAAATTCATATACTGCAAACATCGCGACATCAAACTCCTCCATTTAACTCTAAAGACTTTCACTATGTCTCAATCTATGTGATCATAGACCTTTTCAAAATCAAATTTAAAAACTTAGCATTCCTTATCTCAAATTCTATAATCCTCTTCCACCTCATTAGCTCCAGGAGGCAAATCAAGAATTTGTCTAACTTGCACAAAAGCTGCTTGACACTCTGAAATAGTCTCACCTAGAGTCCCTTCACGATAAAATTTTTGCAATGATCTTATAGAGGCTAGACACCTAACTTATCGGTCAATCCCTCAATTTCATAGACTTGTCGTTGTTTGGGATCAAGCAAATGAAGGTAGAATTGGTGATTGCATTAACTAATTCATTTTGGCAAATTTCAACAAGCACCTTTGTATCCTAGCAATCCTGATAAATAGCCGAAGTTGAATCCATAAAGTCTTGGAGCCTCATCATTACCATAGTAAAAAATAGTCTTTCTTATTGCTACTTGTTAAAAGGCCTTTCCAACCACTTAGGTTTACTGTCATCAATGGGACTCCACTCCAGACCGTCCAAACTTGGTGTGACACCGACCTCAAATGCATATAACTGGGATAAAGAACTCAATCTCTAGATTCTCTACTCTCATAGTCCCCTCTTCGTCAATAATCACTCAATTCTCCAATTTCATTTTTATCTAGTACTTTATTTATGTATATTGGTGACCCTTAAACTTATTATATTTTGATTAGTTTTCATTTGAAATTTCTTCATAATACAATTATGCAAGCATTAACTCTTTATTGTTAACAAACATCAATCGGTATGTTGTTTTGGATTAGGTTTTACTTTAAAACTCTTAGGATCTTATCACAAGTACAGAATATGTATTAACTGAATATCCGTATGTGGATGCAACAGTATATACCATATGATATAGTAAGACTTTTAAAGTGAATCGTGATCCAAAATAGTGTACCACCTAAGTCTAACTCTACCCCGATCTACCTTATACCACAGAAACTGTTGTACTGTGTATCTATATCATAACACACTGAATTGACCTACAATCCAGATAAGAATGGGTTGGGACCCTAGTAATACAGAAAGAAAACAAATTTCTTTGGCAGCAATGTCTTACATGTGCTTTTAGGTTTGAATTACCTGGCTTGTGTTAAGAAAATTGGGACCATTGCCTGGAGGAGTAGTCAAAATAATGGTAAGTAGGCTTGTCTTAAGAGATTAGAAACCTAATGGTTCATCATTCAAATAGGAGTTCTGTATGAACTTGTTCTTTCCAAGAAAAACTCTCAGTTTCTTATAATAACCATGGGAACTTTTTTAGTAGCTTTACATGTGTTTTTATTGTCGTCTGCTCAATAAAAAATGGACCATTGCCCTTTAGAAACATTTATTTTATTTTGTTAATGTCTTTTTGACTTTTTTGTTCATTGTCTCCTTTTTCTCAATCTTTGCAGCTTACTATTACTCTGAAGAAGGAAGATGCTGACATAGAGAAGAACCAGTATAATGAATACTATTATGCTGGGGGATTGGTTGAGTACGTGAGATGGCTAAATACTGATAAGGTAGCTTGGCTTTAGTCCTTTTCCATCAGTATTCTTGGACTGCCCTTATTTGTTATAATTTTTCCCGTCTCTATCATTGTGACAAGTTTACACTGTTTTGGACTTCAATTAAAGTGTGTGGATCAGGTGCTAAGTTACAGGTTAAAGGAGACGAATTTTTTATCATTTGTTTACAGTAATTGAGGTAGAATGTCCTTGGGTTTTTGGAATAGCTATCAACCTCTAACCAATTTTGTCTTCAAAGCTGAAAACATGCTTCATATTGTACTAGTCGTAGATGGTAAAATCAATGTCTAAAATCTTAAGTAAAGTAATGGATATATTCTATATGTTGAAATCTTTATTATTTTTTGAGCAAAACCACCGACCCCTTCTAAATTTAAGAATTCAATGCTAGATTAAAAATTGTACATGAGTGTCCTAGTGTCGTAAAAATTGTCGCCGACTGTTGGGACCTCAAATAAAGGCAAATCGCATCTCTTGCCCAACGGTCGTATAGTGGTTCTAGGCAGCACAATTTTTGATTATGTCTCTTCCTTTCTCAGTCCCCTCTCGGTCTATATATCTCTCTCTGTCCCTGGTTTTGATCAAACTAACATAATCTCATTAAACAACTATATTTATACTATGGTTTTTTTTAAATTTCTAACTCTAGATATTTTTTTAATGTTAACTTGCGACTCTAATTTGTTTGGATTACTTACAAAATGATCCTAGGTTTTATTGCAAAGTGACCTTAAATTGTGTACAATAAAAAAATAGTCTCAAAATTTTTAAAAAATTATAAATTAATCCCCTATATATCTTAAACTTGTCAATACGTGTTCAAAATGTGTCCAAAACTTGTCTTAAAATAATTGACACATTAAAATTTTTTTAGGACTGCATAATTAAGCAAATTTAATAGAAGGAATTTTTTTTGAGGGTGGGCGTGTGCCCCCCACACTCACCCCGGAGGCTTAAGTTAGCTTTGCCCTTAGCCAGAATTAACATAGCGGTTAACGAAGAACACAAGAAAATCAGTATTCCCAAGTATTATGGACACACACACTGAATCTACAGAAAACAAGAGATGAACCTTTAAGAAATGTTATTGATTTCAAACTTGGATGATTCAAATGATTACATAAGGACCCTTTCTACAGGTCTCTCCTATCATCTACCTAATTTAATTTCATCCTTCTACCATTTATAATACCTCTACCAACTACATCTTCCAACTACTCACATTATTACCTTTATAATCTCCCAACTAATAATTTGTTTCCCTTGCAAGTACTCCACTGTTATTGGATTCTCTGGCTGAGCCCGTGCCCCATCTAATTGGGTCTCCACTCTCATAGCTAAGGAATGGTCTTGGTCAAGGAATATCAGGTCTGTAGTGAAATCATGTCTTGAATATCAAAACGCAATCCTCCGACAAATTGAGTAATTTTCTGGGACTCGGTCTCATTCAGATTCTTACACACATAAAGCTGCTGGAACCCCACCATCTATGCTTGAACATTTCTATTGTCTTGTTTGCAATCTTGATACTGCAGAAACAAGACCTGCTCATAATCTGGGGTACAATTCTTGACCAAAATAACATTTTTATCTTCTGTCAGTTACAGATCGGATACTGCCCTCTCTGGTACATGCAAGTTAGATATGTTCCCACTATGCAAAAGTTCCTCTTTTCAACTTGTAAGCCGCTAGTTTCACCTTCTCGTCCAGAATGTCCATATAGTTGATGAATCTCTCCACTTTAGCCAACAGTCATGAAAATCCTCAATGTGAAGACCATTAAAACTGGGTAGGTCAACTTTCATATGATAATCCTTAGACTCACTGTCGGGATTTCTATAGCTTGTACTATTACCAAGCAAATATTCGCCATCATCATTGTTGGAATTTGCGATAGGTGCTGCACGAGCAAAGTGCGGTGCAAACATTCTGTCTTGCTAGATAGACGTGAGGATGATCTCTAACGGGTTAAACATGCTTTATAGTTATTCTATGCCCTCTCCGATCGAGATCTTGGTTTGGACGCAATGCCAATTGAGCAACCAAATCCTGTAGCTCTTGCAAGGCCAGTTGTGTATTCTATTGAAATCGTTGGATATGTTGCTTCTATCGTTGCTGAAGATCCAAGAATTTATTTCTCAGAAGAACCTATTCCACATGATTACCTTCATAAGGAAGGTTGTCACTACTTCATTGATTAGTCATCATGCTAGGTCAGTCAAGGCTCTGATGCCAATTGACACAACGGTAAACAACGAACATAAGGAATCACTGTTTTCAAGTGTTAAGAACACACACAGTCTAAATACACAAAGAAAATGAGAGATGAATTCTTAAGAAATATTATTGATTTCAAACTTGGATTTTTCAAATGGTTATAAACGACTTCCACCTACCCCAATTAATATCATCCCAACCACTTACATTAATCCCTCTACCAACTACATCTTCCAACTACTCGCATTATTACATCTTTCTAACTACTTACATTAATATCCCATCCAAGGATCAAAATTTTGTTTCGAAACATCTGAAATGTTTTCGTTTTCAAATAGACCGAAACAAAAGAGTGATAAAATCAAAATTTTAATACGTCAAGATGTTTCATAATGTTTAGATGTATTTGCACAATTATTTTAGAATGCTTTAAGGTATTTTATGATTCGACCAATATTTTAGAAAAATAATTCTTAAATTTTTTATTTTTTTTCATTCTTTTCCGAAATGGATCGAAACGTTTCTAGAACACATCGGAACGTTTCTGAAACACATTGGAATGTTTCTGAAACACATTGGAACGTTTCCGTTTCCTAAGTGATCGAAACAATGCACTGAAACGAAATTTTAATCCTTGTCCCTATCTAAAGCCCATTAACTCTTGGTCCTAGTACAACATTGGGCCAAGATTAGGATTACTTTCCATTTGTACTTTGTTCTACATCAAGAACTGTAACTCTCTCTTTGGTGCTTCTCTCCAAAGGCAGATTCACAGTTCACAGTCATGGAATCACAATTGCTAGTCAAGGTAGCCAGCCCTAGGGATTTCAACATGTATGAGAGTTGTGTGAATCCTCATAAGTGTTTCTCCTACTTTGACGTCTTTCTCTCTTCTCTTTTTTGGTGATCTGTAGAAGAGGCGTTGAGGGGGGAGAGAGAGAGAGAGAGAGAGAGAGAGAGAGAGAGAGGCCTTACAGAAAATGGAGACCCAATGAGGATGTTATATGAGGGCTAATACGTGCAGAAGGCACAATTTTTCAAAGTAGACTCCTTGTTTTCAGCTTTAACTGACACAAAGTCTAGTTGACTAAAAATTTTGTCCTATTTTCAGTGAGAATTTATTATTTATCTGAAAATAATTTACATTAATTCATCGCAATGAATCGAATAAGTGCTTACTATTTTCAGAATTGCTTTTTAAGCATGCTGTTAGCAAATGAATCTTTGAATGTTGTTTGCAAAGTTCGGCTACTGCAATGCAATTTGGAATACTTGAACAGTCTATTCTTTCTCTCTCTCTCTTGACTTAACTATGACCTTTACAAGTGAAAGTGCAGGGATGTCTCCTTAGTTATAAATAATCATTCCATTAAATAATTAGAATTAGAAATTTATATAATATGAATAACTGACAGTCTTCTGATTTTAGAAACCACTTCATGACATCTTGGGTTTTAGAAAAGCAGTAGATGGAATCACAATTGATGCAGCTCTTCAATGGTAAAACTTGTAACTCTTTTTTTTTTTT